TGAAACTGCTCGTACCCTACTCATACAATCTCATGCTCCGTTGCATTTTTGGGGGATGCAGTTCTTACATCTTGCTATATTATTAATCGTATGCCATCTTCAACTATCCAGAACCAAGTTCCATTCTCTGTCATGTTTCCCCACTTACCTTTGTTCTCTCTTCCACCCCGTATCTTTGGAAGCACTTGTTTTGTCCATAACCTTATTCCAGGAACAGATAAGTTAGCTACTCGTGCGTATTTCTAGGTTTCTCGAGAACACAAAAGGGGTATCGATGCTACTTTTCTGACCTCCAGCGGTACCTTATGTCCGCTGATGTTACCTTTTTTGAAACCCAATCATACTTCACAGGTTCAGGTCATCTCTTAGATATTTCTGAGGTACTACCAGTTTCATCTTTTGGAGATTCAGTCACTATCTCCCATTCATCTTCCTCTACATCTCCAGCTCCACCACCTACAACTCCAGTTGTAGCCCCACCACCTATAGCTCCAGCTCCTCCACGTAATCCAGTTCAACCTTCTGCAGCTCCACTACTCTTGACTTATCATCGTCGTCCCCATCCAACATCAGGCCCAGGTGATTCACGCTCTGTATCAGATTTTGCACCTACTGCAGACTTGTCTCCTCTTAATCAACCAATTGCACTCCGCAAAGGTGTACGATCCACACTTAATCCTAATCCCCACTATGTCGGTTTAAGTTATCATTGTCTGTTGTCACCTCCTTATGCTTTTATATCTTCTTTGTCCACTGTTTCTATCCCTAAGTCTACAGGTGAGGCACTATCTCATCCAGGATGGCGACAGGCTATGATTGACGAGATGTCTGCTTTACATGCGAGTGGCACTTGGAAGCTTGTTCCTCTTCTTGCAGGTAAGTCTACTGTGGGTTGTCGTTGGGTTTATGCAGTCAAAGTCGGCCCGGATGGCCAGGTTGATCGGCTTAAGGCTCGTCTTGTTGCAAAAGGATATACTCAGATTTTTAGGCTTGATTATAGTGATACTTTCTCTCCCGTGACTAAAGTAGCATCTGTTCGTCTCTTTTTGTCCATGGCTGCTGTACGTCATTGGCCTCTTTATCAGTTAGACATTAAGAATGCTTTTTTTCACGGTGATCTTGAGGAATAAGTTTATATGGAGCAACCACCTGGTTTTGTTCCTCAGGGGGAGTTTAATGGTTGTGTGTGTAGATTGCGCAGGTCACTATATGGTTTGAAACAGTCCCCTCGAGTTTGGTTTGGTAAGTTCAGCATAATTATTCAGGAGTTCGGCATGACTCGTAGTGAGGTTGATCACTCTGTGTTTTATCGGTATTCTGCTCCTAATCTGTGTATTTATCTAGTGGTTTATGTTGATGATATTGTTATTACTGGCAATGATCAGGATGATATTACTAATATGAAGCAGCATCTCTTTCAGCACTTCCAGACTAAGGATCTGGGCAGATTGAATTATTTTCTAGGTATTGAGGTCGCTCAGTCTAGCTCAGGTATTGTTATTTCACAGCCGAAGTATGCCTTAGACATTCTTGAGGAGACTGGAATGATGAGTTGTAGACCTATTGACTCTCCTAGTCTCCTATGGATCCGAATGCTAAGCTTCTGCCTGGACAGGGGAAGCCTCTTAGAGACCCTGCGAGATATAAGAGGTTGATTGGCAAATTGAATTACCTCACAGTGACTAGACCTGGTATTTCTTTTCCGGTGAGTGTTGTAAGTCAGTTTATGGATTCTCCCTGTGATAGTCACTGAGATGCAGTTGTTCGCATTCTTCCGTATATAAAGTCAGCTCCAGGCAAAGGATTACTATTCGAGGATCGAGGCCATGAGCAGATTGTTGGGTACACAGATGCTGATTGGGCAGGATCACCTTTTGATAGACGTTTACGTCTGGATATTGTGTTCTAGTAGGAGGTAATTTGGTCTCGTGGAAGAGCAAGAAACAGAATGTAGTTGCTCGATCTAGCGCCGAAGCCGAATATCGGGCCATGGCTATGGCAACGTGTGAGTTAGTTTGGGTCAAGCAGTTGCTCAAGGAGTTAAAGTTCGGAGAAATCAGCAAGATGGAACTGGTGTGTGATAACCAAGCTGCTCTTCATATTGCATCATTTCCGGTGTTCCATGAGAGGACTAAACACATTGAGATCGACAGAGAAAAAATACTTTCAGGAGATATTGTTACAAAGTTTGTAAAGTCGAATGATCAACTAGCAGATATTTTCACTAAGTCTCTTACTGGTTCTCGTATTAGTTACATGTGTAACAAGCTCGGTACATATGATGTGTATGCACCGGCTTGAGGGGGAGTGTTAGTTATGTGTAGTCCCACATTGGAATGAGAGTAATATGTACTTTGTAGACTATAGCTATAAATAGGACCTCTTGTATTATATTTAGTATCTAATATCAATATTATATTTTCTCCCGTGCTTTCTCACAGTTATTTTAGTTGGATTCTTCATATAATAATCTTATCAGAAAAGGCAAATTATTTCCATTTCTAAAACAAATACTTACGAGTAAAAAATTCTTTTCATAGTTTATGAACCTGACATGGCGAGTAATTTGATCAAGTAGCGAATTTCAGATCAACTGTTGGGTTCTATAGTTGAACTGCAGGTGTATGAAAAATCGGTACCATAATAGAAACAATAAACTGTATGTATTAATTTTTTGTGGTATCATCATTTTTTCTTAAACTCCTGTGAGTATGTCTTCTAATTTTGAAAATAAAGGAAAAATATGACCATCCATTTTCGTACTTATTCTAATCATGCATATAACACAACCCAAATGACCAAAAGGAATTGAAATTATATATAGATTATTATTTTATTGTTTTTAATGACATATATAAACTGTAGGCATAGTATGCAGTTCTTCCAATTCATCTTTGAAAAGGTCAATTTTTCTAAATGAAAATGTAAGCTATCCCAGTATGGTCAAACTACCAGGGTCATATTGCCCGTGTTTCACATTTTAGGTCTGTAAGTGATTGAACTTATGCCTGGCTCATGCTTAATTTTTAAGAAGTCAACATCTTCCAAGAGCCAAAATTTGTTCATGGTTTGGTCCTTATGAATGTGTTCATTTCTCAGCTTATTCTTGCACTTCCCTTCAGTTCAAACACGAAAGTCACCTTTACACAACCACTGTGAACAGAGTTGTACTAGGAGATTGCTTTGAACTTCACATGAGCAAGACTGGCTTAATACCAGGAACGGAATTTTGTCCTGAAACAAGAGTTTCCAGATCACCACAAATCAAACTTCTGTTTAATTTTATAAAAACAAAGTGAGAGTGGATAGCTGAGATAATATTTCTCTTCCATTTACTGCTTTCTTGGGATTAAGTAATTCTGTGAAATGCATTTGAAGCAGGTTGAAGTGTCACTACTTCACTTACCATCGGAAGGCCTGGCCAGAGATGGGCTTAAATGTCATCTGCTACATTCTTATAAGTTCGCTTGCAATGCTCTGCACATATATAGTTCCTTTTGCCAGCTGTAGATGCTTAGTTTCATCTGGGATATTGAGCCAGATATTTTCTCTGTATTTATTGTTAATTAACTCAAGGAACATTAATTCCTCTCATCATGGAGAGTCATTGCTGAACATTGTATTGTTAGAGGGCTTTTCACTTTCTTCATATGGTTGATGTATATGTGTACTTTATAAGGAAACTTAACTTGTGACATTTAATGTGCAGCAAGTGCAAAGACCTTTGCTTTCATTTGGTCCAAAGGCTTCCATGAAACTTGCAACATGCCCAATTAATGTCTGCAAGGTTATATTCACTCATAGACGTTGCTTAATCTTAAAAGTATAAAGTTTCTTTTTGTGTTGTCGATTTCTTTGTCCTGATTGTATTCATTTTTGCAGGAACTGAGGTTGAGTTCTCATCTGATTAATGATTATGGTGATGAGGCTTCACTAATGATCTCAGACGGGGCATTTTGTACTCAATGGATTAAGAACTTAAAGAAGCCAAAAGGTTCCGTTATCTTTTCCCAGGAGAATGAATGTAGGAGTAATACTTATGCTCTCCAGTTCTGTGGGCAGCCATGTTCCATCCCTGGATCTGTGCTGCAACTTTTAGGCTCTTCGTATTTGTTCCGCGCTACTGCTTGGGAGATCTACGGCAGGTGACGTGATGATCTTTGTTCTCATGCTTGTTCTGCATACAGTACGGTATTGTTATCTATGTGAGATATGTTCCTTGTGCAATTAACGATTAATTGATGTTTCAGAAGCATGAAAATATTCTGCCTAGGTGACCACTGCCAATTTTAAAATTTGCTAAATGCATGGTTAGTCAGTCTATGCCATTACTTATGATAAATGTTTGGGAAAGGGTTATTAAGAAGGAGCAACAAATCTGCTTCGCTGCAGAATTAGAAAGATCCCCAAGTGTCATTACTTTCAAATGCAAATAATAAGTATTACTCCCTCGCTTCCCGATTTAAGGGTTTCACCTTGTCTGGGCAGGTAATAAGGCCTTAATAGTTCAAGTCTTTTAGATTTTGAAAATTGAATTTGACTTCTGAATAATTTGAAGAACTTAAGTACAAAATGTGGCACCATGGGCATGGTGCTCTCTTGATAGGAGAATATCGGAAAAGTATTTAAGTAAGGGAAAAGCTTATCTTCTCGAGAAATGGACAGTCCTTTGGGTAACCAAAATGGAATTTAGGGCATTTAATTTAGGCAGACAAGTAAATCCTTAGTGTGAGCAGTTAATGATGCTATATCTGCCCTATATTTCAGTCCTGCACAAGAACAAAACAGGACATTTAAAAAAATTGAAGTTTTTGGTCAGTTTACTATTAAATAACATATTTTATGGACGTTTAGTTGCAAAATGAACTGAAACTAAAGCTCATAAAGGAAGATTGTAAGCTTTTCTTGTCCCTTTATCTATAGTTTTAGATCCTTTAGTTAAAACGACAGTAGAAGAGACTAAAGGAGATTTGAGGTTAGAAACAGACCAGAGATGCGGTCGGAATCCAAAGGATGAATACTATGTCACATAGGCAGAGTTACCAAGGTGAGCTATATCAGCTATAGAGCTATGTAAGCTATAGAAGAGGATGATGGCTGCTGTTTTCCTGTGCAGTGCCGAAGATGATCATCACAGTTAGCTCCAGTACTAAACAGAAAGCTTAATAGTTTATCATTAGTTCCATGTACTAAACAGCATAAAACACAGCACCTAATTAGGGGAGTGTGCTCTTCTGTAGTTTTAGGACTTGCCGAATGACAATGGTATTTATGGTTTCTTCACAACCTTAATTTATTATAAAAGGACTAACTCGCTCTCTTAAAAGTTTTGGATTTGCAAAGGAAATAGGAAAGCAGTGTCCAATTTGCGTAACCCAGAGTAACAAAAGTATGAAGCCAGTTGGAGATTATGAACACCAACTCGTAAAGGGATGGTTTTGCCTTATAAGCTTGTAGATCATATGCTGCATTGTCAGTTCAAAGAAAGCTAGATAGAACTTCCAATGCAGTTCACATTTTTAGGTGTTTTATTGTCACCTGTCAGGTATGTATATTGTTAGTTATGTGTAGTCCCACGTTGGAATGGGAGTAATATGTACTTTGTAGACTATAGCTATAAATTGGACCTCTTGTGTTATATTGAGTATCTAATATCAATAATATATTTTCTCCCGTGCTTTCTCACATGGTATCAGAGCATTAGTGAGAAAAGATCGTTGTGCGTCATTCCAGCGTTAACCGGGAAGAAAGAACTTAGTAATCGTGCAATTTTTCCGGTGACCTAAGGCTACGTGCACTTTCTGTCGGTGTTGTGCTAAAACCAACACCACCATGAGGTAGATCACCCTCCGATGACCAACCCCTGAAAATTTATCTAGCAGAAAAGCTGCCACGCGCCGGCAACAACTTTTCTGGCGAGGGTTCCAGCAACTTTCCGGCCATTTTTTCGCGAAGCTTCTTCAGGACAGTCAGCTCTCCTCACAATTCCGAGCCTACCCATCTAATTCAAATCAAATTCCGACCACTTTTATATTTTTCCGCTGTGAACAGTGACCTTCCGGTCATTTTTTTAAGTTAACCCTACTACTACAAATTGTAGCGACATGGGAACCGATGCTTTGAATAGTCGGATGGTNTTTTTTTTTTGAAAACATTTCTTCACTACAGCTTGCTCGCAAGGGAATACCGTATCTATCCATCCTGGTTACGACAAATTCCGACAACTTTACAATTTTCCGGCGAGCTACAACTGGAGCTATAGGTGGTGGAGCTACAACTGGAGTTGTAGGTGGTGGAACTGAGCTATAGGTGGTGGAGCTGGAGATGTAAAGGAAGATGAAAGGGAGATAGTGACTGAATCTCCAAAAGATGAAACTGGTAGTACCTCAGAAATATCTAAGTGATGACCTGAACCTGTGAAGTATGATTGGGTTTCAAAGAAGGTAACATCAGCGGACATAAGGTACCGCTGGAGGTCAGGAGAGTAGCATCGATACCCCTTTTGTGTTCTCGAGAAACCCAGAAATACGCACGAGGAGCTAACTTATCTGTTCCTGGAATAAGGTTATGGACAAAACAAGTGCTTCCAAAGATACGGGGTGGAAGAGAGAACAAAGGTAAGTGGGGAAACATGACAGAGAATGGAACTTGGTTCTGGATAGCTGAAGATGGCATACGATTAATAAGATAGCAAGATGTAAGAACTGCATCCCCCCAAAAACGCAACGGAGCATGAGATTGTATGAGTAGGGTACGAGCAGTTTCAATAAGATGTCTATTCTTTCTTTCAGCTACCCCATTTTGTTGAGATGTGTACGGACAAGATGTTTGATGAATAATCCCATGAGATTTCATAAACTGCTGAAATGGGGAAGACAAATACTCTCGGGCATTATCACTACGAAATGTGCGAATAGAAACCCCAAATTGATTTTGAATTTCAGCGTGGAAGGTCTGGAAAATAGAAAACAACTCAGATCGATTTTTTATCAAAAATATCCAAGTGCACCTGGAATAATCATCAATGAAACTGACAAAGTAGCGGAATCCTAAGGTGGAACTGACCCGACTAGGACCCCAAACATCTGAATGGACTAAAGTAAAAGGTGACTCTGCTCGATTATCAAGACGCCGAGGGAAATGGGAGCGAGTATGCTTACCGAGCTGACATGACTCACACTCTAGAGCTGACAAGTGAGATAAACCAGATACCATTTTCTGAAGTTTTGACAAACTGGGATGTCCCAACCGTTTATGTAATAAATCTGGTGAATCAGTAACAGGACAAGTTGTAGAAGGAAGACAAGATGTGAGTCCATGTGATTTAGCAAGGATAAGGTAATAAAGTCCGTTTGATTCACGCCCGGTACCAATGATCCGCCCCGTACTGCGTTCCTGTATAAAAACATGGTCATCAAGAAATAAAACAACGCATTTATGTGATTTGGTTAAGGGACTAACAACTATGAGATTAAAAGGACTATTGGGAACATAAAAGACTGAATCTAAAGGTAAGGAAGAAAGTGGGCTTGCTCGACCTATTGCAGTTGCCATGGTTTGAGACCCATTGGCCATTGTGACTTTTGGAAGAGATTGAGAATACGAAATAGTAGTGAAAAGAGATTTGTTACCAGAAATATGATCTGATGCACCTGAATCAATGACCCAAGACTCAGAGGATGAAGATTGGGAGAAACAAGTCACGCTATTACCTGTTTGAACAACAGAAGCTATCTCAGAAGATGTCTGCTTACATGCTTTATACTAAAGGAACTCAATATACTCTGCTAAAGAAACCATCCGACTATTCAAAGCATCGGTTCCCATGTCGCTACAATTTGTAGTAGTAGGGTTAACTTAAAAAAATGACCGGAAGGTCACTGTTCACAGCGGAAAAATATAAAAGTGGTCGGAATTTGATTTGAATTAGATGGGTAGGCTCGGAATTGTGAGGAGAGCTGACTGTCCTGAAGAAGCTTCGCGAAAAAATGGCCGGAAAGTTGCTGGAACCCTCGCCAGAAAAGTTGTTGCCGGCGCGTGGCAGCTTTTCTGCTAGATAAATTTTCAGGGGTTGGTCATCGGAGGGTGATCTACCTCATGGTGGTGTTGGTTTTAGCACAACACCGACAGAAAGTGCACGTAGCCTTAGGTCACCGGAAAAATTACACGATGACTAAGTTCTTTCTTCCCGGTTAACGCTGGAATGACGCACAACGATCTTTTCTCACTAATGCTCTGATACCATGTGAGAAGGCACGGGAGAAAATATGTTATTGATATTGGATGATAAATACAATACAAGAGGTCCCTATTTATAGCTATACACTACAAGGAGATATTACTCCTCTTCCAATGTGGGACAAGACTACACTATACATATCTATAAACTAACATCAATAATATATTTTCTCCCGTGCTTTCTCACATATATAATATGTACATCGCAAAGCACTCAATTCTAGTTCAGATATCATTACTGATTTTCTTCTCTTTTTGTATGCTAATTTAGTGCACCTCTTGCTCGAATGAATGCGCTGCTTTATGCGACATGCTTTGCTGACTCATTGAGGTAATACTTGTATGAATTTTTAAGTAGTTGAGCTGTTTGAAACTGTGCCTCAATATTTGTCGACTGAAATTTGCTTTCTTTTCTGCATGCAGTTTGGATGATGTGGCATTAGCATATGGAAAACTTATCCAGCATCTAGCAGTATTTAAAGGATACAAAGGTTTGCTCAAAATATTTTAGTACTTCATAAGTATTCTTGAATTGGCATAGCTACACAGTAGTTGTGCATGTATCTGTTGGCTCATGTCATTATGGTGCATAGATGATAGTAGTAGAGCGATGCTATACTTAAGTTATTTGCTGATGCATTGTTTACTTGATTTCTTTTGCTTATTCAATGGAATTACATTCTTTTCTTGATCACCCATAAGGTAAACCCATACTGGTTGAAATGTTGCTTGCTTTTAGACATAATTTCCATTTGGTATCACTACTGTGTTTTGACTTTTGACCCTGTGCAATTTTTCTGTGTGCCCCGGAGATTTTTCTTTGGTCCTAAAGTAGCTGTCAAGAAAATGGACCAGGCCTAACTTAACTCCAAAAGCTAGCTCATTAGACCCAAGACCATATAAGAAGACCACAAACCATCTATGTTGCTCGGACTCTCCAAAAGTGTTGCCGCACCCGTGTCGGATCCTCCAAAAATGCACTAAATTTGGAGGATCCGACACGCACCCAACAACATTTTTGAAGAGTCCGAGTAACATAGCAAACCATTCCCTCAACCAATTTTGGACACTCTAACAATCCCTCCCCCAACACGACTACAACTAGACATGTGTACTGTGAACAAACATATAATAGGAGCCCAACATTGGGTAAACCTAGAATAGGTATGAGCTTGAATATGATACCATGTTAAGAAAATGGACCTTGGGCCTAACTCAATCCCAAAAGTTAGCTCATGTGGTGAAGACTGCCTAAAATCATACAAGGAGACATGGTAATGACTGTGGGCCTTGAGCCTATTCCCTCAACCAATGTGGGACACAAATCTTTGAAGACTTACCGGAGGACTTGGTAAGAACTGAACACAGCCTTCTGACAAACATGTCTGTTCAAGTAAAAAACTAAAAAATGGTGTTTTGGCAGAAATGCAGGAAAGTGCAGAACTGATTAGCCTTCTCTTCTAGAGATGAATAACATTTACGTGTAATTTAGTCGGAAGAAAGATAGAAGTAGGTTAATCTTTCTTTTTCAAAAAAAGAAAGATAGAAGTAGGTCAAATGGAAATATGATTGTGATAGGCTAATGAGTTGTGGCCAAAGTGGTCTCCGGTAAATACTAGGCTACCTCATACCAGTTCATGTTACAATAAGCATTTTGGCAGTAGTGCGGGAAAAAGCTTCAGAACTAATTAGCCTTTTCTTGTAGAGAAGAACATTGCTGTGCAATCCGGTCGGGAGAAGGTAGAAACAGATGAACTTGAATAGATCATGATAGGCTACTGAGTTATGGCCAAAGTGTTTGCCGGTAAATTCTAGACAATCTCATCAGTTGGTAGGGATCCATAATTGTCTTCAGTCTTATGCCAGGTTTTAGTTTACCGTGCCCAAATTAGTATATAATCCTTCATACTTCATTTATACATATGTGAGAGTAGGAGGGCAGATCTATTTCTTAGGAAGGCAGATCTATTTCTTTCCTTTCTCTGTTAAAAAAAACTTATTCTCTTCCCCTACGTCCCTCAGAAAATACAAGGAAAGCAAAGTGGAAAAGTGACTTGATATTATAGTTTTAATTTATTTTTGTTTTTTGCTTATACTCAATAATGGCTTCTTTTGTGCGCCTTCAGAAGCTTTTGCTGCAATGAAACTTGCGGAGGAGAAGTTTTTATCTGTTTCAAAGTCACAAATTCAGCTTGTAAAACTACAGTTGCTCCATGATCATGCTTTACATACGTAAGGAGACTTCTCTAATCCTAATCAAGTTGCATAAAATTATTCTTACTTGGTTTTAAACTTCCCTTTGCTTGTCTGATTGGATATTAGTTGCCTCTCAGGGGAAATTTAAAACTTGCTCAACAGTTGTGTGATGAGCTAGGTGTTTTAGCCTCTTCAGTAACTGGTGTAGATATAGAGATAAAAGTTGAAGCTAGCCTCCGCCATGCACGAATACTAATTGCAGCGAACCAATTTAGCCAGGTAGTCTGCTTTCCTTTAGTTAGATCTCTTTCGAGTTGATTCAGTAAGGTATATGTTGGGTGGTGAACTTGTGCTTATAACTACATGACCTGCTAACTTAATAGTTTCTACTTCTCTTTTTGAACTTTGAACAAATGATATGATGCAAGAATGTAATTGATTATTTTTTTGCTCATGTACTATCATTTCTAATCAAAAGAAGAATGTGCCCACTTGCTCCCAAGAAAAGGTGAATGAATAATGGAAAGGAATATGGTCAATTACATCCTAAACTGGTGATTTTCAAATACACTTGTGATAGAAAATTGGATACCTTTGTTGCTTGCTCTTTGGTCAGGAAAAGATTTAAGTTTTCTTGTTTTTCTTTCTGCTTTTCCCTCTTCTATTTGCATAAATATATTCACTTTTAAGGCTTTGGCTGTTCTTCTAAGTGAATCATTATACTGTTGTGCTGATGATCATGTTTTTTCTTTAGTTCATTGCTTGTATTAGTACTGATAGATCATTTTCATTGTCCTCAAGGCCTTCAATTTTCTCGAAAACTTGCATGGTTTTCTGGAATGAGCAGTTTTTTCTCATGATAATGGACATGAAAATCACGAGGCTATGGTCTGGTTCAAAGTGGCAGCACCAGCAAGTCTGGTCCTGGTTCTAAAGTCTAGTAATATTTGATCATGCTTGATTCTGTGCAAAGCATACTTGCAAACTGAGTATGAATAGTTCACTTACAGGTTTGCCTGTGCTTGTGATGCCGAGGATTTTAACCACATCGACTCTACTCTTTGGTCTTGCAGCCAATGTGGTGATAATGATCATTCTGCAAGACTATTCTGAATGAGCTGTTACCTTAAGATATTGGAATATCACCTACCAAAAAGAAAATATTTGAATATCAAATTTGTTTACCACTCTGAATCTCTTTTCCCCAAGTTCTCACAAATTTTGTTTCTCTTACATCTGATAACTTGATATTGTGCTGTGGTGCTAAAGTATTTTTCATCCTTTTCTGATTTTCTAAGCTATAGGCAATAATTTGCTCTAGTTTGAACAGTGACAGAGGCCAAAAGCAATAAGCATCTAAAGAATTTCTTAATTTCCATTCTTGTGCATATGATTCTTCCAGGCAGCAGCTATCGCACACTCTCTCTTCTGTATGTGCTACAAATTCAGTTTACAAGTCGAGAATGCCACTGTTCTTCTTTTACTTGCAGAGATACACAAGGTATTGATTTAATGTTAATCGATATTTTTGCTCACAGGCAAGTACTTTCTTATAAAAAATATCACCTCGTCAGAAGAAATGGAACTTCTTTTACCGCTTATACATCTTCACCATTGGATTTCTAAAATTTGAACTACTGAGCCCCACACTCTTTTCTTTCTCTGACATGATCAAGATGTAATATAACTATGTTCATCCATTTCAGAGATCAGGAAATGCTGTTTTAGGTATTCCGTACGCGTTGGCAAGCCTTTCCTTTTGTAAATCATTCAACTTAGACCTTCTCAAAGCATCTGCTACGCTGACGCTGGCGGAGCTTTGGCTCTCACTTGGATCAAGTCATGCAAAAAGAGCTTTGGCTCTCATACATGGGGCATTTCCTGTACTTCTTGGTCACGGTGGTTTGGAGCTTCGTGCTCGGGCTTTTATTACTGAAGCAAAATGCTATCTTGCTGACTCGAGCTTTTCAGGTGCCTTATCGGAATTTTAATGCTCCACCTGTTTGCATACTTACTGTAAATATGACTTTTCATTAGCTTGTGCTCTAATCAGATCTCATTTTTGAGTTTTAANCTTTATCACTGAAGCAAAATGCTATCTTGCTGACTCGAGCTTTTCAGGTGCCTTATCGGAATTTTAATGCTCCACCTGTTTGCTATACTTACTGTAAACATGATTTTTCATTAGCTTGTGCTCTAATCAGATCTCATTTTTGAGTTTTAACTACATCCTGTGTTTTCAACCTCATATATAATTCTTGTCCATGTCACCCAAATGATGCAAATGCCTCCACATTTTGCAAACTACGTTTTTAAGCAATGGATTACATGGTCCATCATAAGTGAGAATCAGAGGATTAAGAGAAATTTGGGCAGTTTTTTTGCGTAAGGACTCTTTTTTAGCTATTATAGGCTTATAGCTCTTGTGAATGCCTACGATTTTATGAATCAAAATGGAACTGGAGAACCTGCCCATCACTCCAATAGTTCGCCTCATCTCCAGCCATGACTTGCCATCTACCTTTCCCAATCAAGCTGCCCTCCATTCCCACCTCCCATGGTTCATATATCCTTTGACCTTGAGATTTTTTATGATTAATTTGTCGCTCTTTGAGTATGATTTACCATATTTGAGTCAAATATAAATGACAAGGACAAACTAGTTCCACTTGAGAACAATTATAACCTAAATTGAAAATAATATCTTTTGGGATTTAGCTGGTATAAGTGTATCAATAAAGTCTTATGAAGTCTTATGTGGCCTTCCTTGCAAGATTTACATCATCCTGCCCTGTACCTCACTTGAGACTCTACCTCCCATTAATGCACACACAGAGACATACAAGTCATTTAGAAATTGAAAATTAACTAACTGCTGAATTTTCTTGTTGCGCTGTCTTCTTAAATTCTTGAGCTTTCAACCTGTGCTTAGTGTTACTTATTGTTCTCAGTATCTGAAGAACCAGAGATGGTACTTGAACCGTTGAGGCAGGCTTCCGAAGACCTGGAACTTCTAGAGGTTAGTCAATATGGACAATTTAGTATTCAAATCAATGACATTTATACTCTAGTTAAAAGACTTCAGTTTTAGTTCCAAGAAATTTGAAATTCTTCATTGTGTATTAATATGCTAAAAGTACATTGGATTACGTTGTGGGAAATGATATACATCAATAGCTAAGTGAAATAATATCTAGAAAATACAAAAGTTGTATTCCATGAAATTCATCTTTCTTTCTTAAATTCTATGTTCTTCCTCTTTACCCTGTCAAAAAGCCTTAACTCTAAGCAAGTGTGTGTGGGTGAGGTTTTTTTGTGTTCGTATATATGGACAAATAGGTGTAAGCCTGCTATACGAAATAAAAACATGTTAAAAGTAGAATGTAAATGAGAAACACGAAGGCATAACTATCTAAAATTATCATTTGAGTGAGGTGAAGGAGAATTAAAAAGGGAAAGTAAAGAAAGGTACAATTCTGTAAACTGTAATTACCAATTACGTGAGATTAATGGAAAGAAATGAAAGGGTTGAGGCCGAAAAGAAGCAATTCTATAAGATTAGGGTTCAATTAGGTGAACTAAATGCTCTTCAGAATTGAGAACCAATTGAGTCAGGTGAAGTAAAAGAGAAAAAGATTAAAGTATGTGAATTAACTTTCTCCATTTTCCCGACACTCTTCAAAGAAAGTATTTTCCTTAAAATATACTGAGTTTTTCCCTGCGGCTAAAACTGCGGCGTTTGGGCGTTTGTATGAAGAGCTTGAGGCCAAAGGTGGGGACAAGAAGCTATACAGGCTAGCCAAGGTGAGAGAGAGGAAGGCCCGTGATCTGGATCAAGTTAAGTGTATCAAAGATGAGGAAGGTAGAGTTTTGATGGAAGAGGCTCAGATTAGACGAAAATGGCAGGCATATTTCCATAAACTCCTGAACGAAGAGGGTGACAGGGACATTGTGCTGGGCGACTTGGAGCACTCCGAGATGCGCCGGGATTTCGGGTATTATAGGCGCATAAGAGTAGAGGAGGTTGAGGGGGCTATGCGTAAGATGCACAGGGGTAGAGCTACCGGGCCAGATGAAATACCTGTGGAATTTTGGAAGAATGCGGGTAGGGCAGGTTTGGAATGGCTCACTAGGCTGTTCAACGTCATTTTTAGGACGAAAAAGACCCGATGAATGGAGGTGGAGTACGATGATTCCTCTGTATAAAAACAAGGGCGATATCCAAAGTTGCAATAATTATAGGGGGATTAAGCTGCTAAGCCATACTATGAAAGTTTGGGAGAGGGTGGTTGAAGTGAGGGTGAGGACCAGTGTGTCCATTTCTGAGAACCAGTTCGGTTTCATGCCGAGGCGTTCGACTATGGAAGCCATTCACATTGTGAGGAGATTGGTGGAGCGGTATAGGGAGATGAAGAAGGACTTGCACATGATGTTCATTGACCTAGAGAAAGCATATGACAAAGTCCCGAGAGAGGTGCTCTGGTGATGCTTGGAGGCTAAAAGGGTCCCAGTAGCCTACATTAGGGTGATTAAAGACATGTATAATAAAGCTAAGCCTCGGGTTAGAGCAGCGTGAGGAGACTCGGAACACTTTCCGATTATGATGGGGTTGCACCAGGGATCAGCTCTTAGTCCATTCTTATTTTCCTTGGCGATGGACGCATTGACGAGACACATTCAAGGTGAGGTGCCATGGTGTATGTTATTTGCTGATGACATAGTTTTAATTGACGAGACGCGGGGTGGTGTTAACAAGAGGCTGGAGATTTGGAGGCAGACTTTAGACTCTAAGGGTTTCAAGTTGAGCAGGACCGAGACGGAATACATGGAGTGCAAGTTTAGCAACGGTACCCAGGAAAGAGATATGGAAGTGAAGCTTGATACGCAAGTCATCCCCAAGAGAGGTAGTTTCAAGTATCTCGGATCTATAATACAAGGTAACATGGAGATTAATGAAGATGTCACAAATCGTTTCGGAGCAGGATGGATGAAGTGGAGGCTTGCATCCGGTGTCTTGTATGATAAGAATGTGCCGCTGAGACTTAAAGGTAAGTTCTACAAGGTTATAGTTAGACCGACTATGTTGTATGGAGCAGAGTGTTGGCCGGTCAAGAACTCTCATACCCAGAAGCTAAAAGTAGCTGAGATGAGGATGTTGAGGTGGATGTGTGGGCATACCCGGTTGGATAAGATTAGAAATGAAGTTATTCGGGAAAAGGTAGGAGTGGCCCCTGTGGAGGATAAGATGCGGGAGGCGAGATTGAGATGGTTCAGGCATGTTAAGAGGAGAAGTATAGAAGCCCCAGTTAGAAGGTGTGAGCGGTTAGCCTCGGTGGGCAGCAGGAGGGGTAGAGGTAGGCCTAAGAAGTC